TGAAGATGATAATATCCATGATTAACATCATCCATAATAAAAATGATTAATCAACCTCTCATAATTACAAAAAAATGAACAAAATGAAAAATTATGATTAGTTGAATGAAGTTTGTACGGTTTGTACAAATTAGGTGGTTTTTATTTGAACGCTCCCCTATATATATATATATATATGTGTGTGTGCGCGCGCATGCACGCTTGTAAGTTGATGATTAACACAAGCTTTTCCTTCAATTGATATTGCTCTCTTATACTTTCTCCTATAAAGAAATCAGATACTTCGGAGTACATTATCAAGAGATTTGATGGTCAAATCTACATCTGTTGTGACAACGACCTTGCAAACCTAAACCCATACGACCTCAAAATGCTGCTGAGCTACTATGTACCTAACTTCGACACAACCAATAATTGCAATATGGATTATAGAGAGATCATAAGGGCTATGGGAGAAAGGATTAAGCAAAGGGCTTCGGTTGATCCAGAAGCAACCAACACTTAGGGAGTTTGTTAAGAGCAATATTTTCAACGTATATCTCAATATTTTGTTACCAATATTTGAACAATCAAGTCCCTTTTAGCATATTTTGTATGATCAATAAATCATTGGTACTATAGTATATTTACAGCTTGCATCATAACTTCTTTTCGTTTTTGCTTTTTGCAACGGGGATGAGTTTGTCTAGCTCATAGAGTGTGTGTCCACAAAATCTGATCAATTCTTCATTTCTTCATCATCAACAATGGCAGATTCATGATATGGCATTTAGAACATCAAGAACATAGAGAGAGGAAAAGTCAAACTCTTCAATTCAGTCAAACCTCTATTATACTAATGAATATTACAAATGAGCTCTTCTCATCCTAATTACAAAGATTAAACCATATTTATATCGTCAAACATACAAAGACAAAGTCAAAGTCAAACCTATAAGAAAAGTCAAACACGCTGACTTTTTACAATTAGACTATTTATAAACTTTCAAGACGAATACAATTAATACTGATTTCTCAGTCCTAACATAGAGAACACCATGCACTCGGCTTCTTCGAAGTACCGCCTTCATCTTCCACTGTCACTTTCTAAAGTCTCTATCCCCATTCCACCTCTCAATCTGAAGCATGAAGCTACATACGAACCTTTAATGTTGTTGGGTTCAAGAATGTGCTTTAAAGTTGTATTGAGGTTCTCCCTTTGTAATGTTTTTGTAATAGTTAGCATTTACTATTTCCTTAGTATAAATAGGATTTAGTTTTCTAATTGTCATTAGTTCAGTTGTTAATCTGATTAGTGTTGTTAATCTCATTGTAATTCTCTCTCAAGAAATCAATAGAAGATTTGGTGAAAATCTCTCTCTACTCAATCTTGTTCTTGATCTTGAAGAATTAATTCTGATTTTGTATGATTTGGGAACTTCAAATGTAGGTAGAATAAGTGTTTGATGATGACTTACCCAAGTTTTCTTTTTCTTTTGGAGATAACCATCACGTTGTTTCTAATAGTGTTTGAATATGTTTCACCGAAAACATCAATAACCATACCTCTAATACCATTGTTTGGGGGTTTTGAATACTACAAAAGTCTCAAAAGCAAAAAAAAATATTTATTAACGATAATCAAGTATGTGATGCCATCAACAGCTAAGGCAGAAAATAAGATAGGATCAAAAGCACAACGAATAATCAACGAAAATATTGCAACACAATATTTACATGGTTCCACCAGCGGTGTGGTAACGTATGTTCACAATGGAAAAGAACTTTTATTGATGAAAAATACCCAAATACTGAAGAGAAATTAGAAGCGAAAACACTAAATTATGTTTAATCTCTCAATATTTTCTCAATTTAAACTAGGGTTTATAAGCTCTCAATTTCATTTTCTACCTGATGGGAACTCATGGGGTTATTTATGCTAATCTCTATCTGGAATATGCTAAAAGACTAGGAAAACATAATTATCGTCGCACGCCATGCTTGATTATAAGGTGTGGTCATGTCTAAAACCCCAACAATTTCTATTTACAATATACCACTAGGTCTACTTGTGCTTGATTATAAGGTGCGGCTATGCCCAACCCAGTAACTTTTTGTTTTGCATTTCCTTGTTTTGTACAATTTTCATCATCAGTCTCATCTTTATAATTTTTGTTCCACCTATTTTGGAGGTAGATATGGTGGTTGTGGGGGAGGTAGAGGTGGATGGCGATGGTTAGTCAATGATGGTGATGGAGGCGGCCATTGGTGGTTGTGGTGACAAGAATGGGCGGTGGTGATGGCCGATAGACGATGGTGACAATTTAACCAAATATCATTTTAGGGTTATTATCAAATAAGTTGATAACTTTTTAAATTTGTTCTATTATTGTCTCATCTTGTTCCACCTACTTTGCTGAAACAATAAAAAACTTTATAGCCCCCGTCTCTATCCCATGTCATGCAAACGAATTTTGTCATGTATTATCCAATCCCATATACTAAGCGCAGCCATAATGTAGCCGGCCCTTGATCAGCTATTTAACTGGTCCTTGATGTCTATTTCTACTCCCATTTTGGAACAGAACCATTAAACGTCAGAAAAGAAAAAGGGTGAAGAGGGCAAAAAGGAAAGACGCATCTTCTTTCCAACTTGCTATTGTACTTTATGGCATTTCATCCACTTTTCTAGTTATTTCCTCTGCTTAATCAATACATTATACAATATCAAAATGTAGCTCCTCATATTGGATGATAATGGACTGCTTCTGATGAAAGGTTAACCTTTTGATGACTCATATGTCTGATGGAACATCATGCAATGGGTGGCCTTTTCGGTTTCTTTCGATAATTCTCCGTGCAAGAGAAACTTGTTTTCCTACCACAAATACAAACGCCTTCCCTTTCCCTCCAGCACCCCTGGCAGTTCTTCCAACACGTCGCACATACTCACTTGGGTCACGAGGGAAGTCAAACAGCACCACTTGGTCAACTCCCGGAATATCAATTCCTCGGGACGCTCTGCATAAGATAACATGAAATTGAGGAATCTATGGGGATGTTGGGTGAACTTTCATCAAGTCCTGTATGGACTAAGCTAAATTGTTATTCTCTTGTGTTGAATACACAATTTGAATGACAGAAATGCCCTTGGTCTAGATTAAGCACCGGTTAAAATAATATTTGATAGATGGGCTTGGTACGCAGGACAAGATAAAATAAAAAACATCCCATGTTTGGTAAGGTTGGGACAACTAGTTCAATCCGGTCCAATCCCATCCACATACCAAACAAACAGAAGAAAATAGACCATTACCTGTCTGTGCAAACTAAAAATAAGGAGCTATCTTTCAATCGAGACTGGCAGAACTCCTCCATATTTGCAACTCGTAAATCTTGTGCCAAAGCAGCATGAAATGGCAACACTTTTCTATTGAACCTCCTTAACGCATTTTCAACCTTTCTGCACGTCTCAATCTGCAATTTAACAAACGAGTACAAAATGACCGTATATACAAAACAAATGATCATCTTTTGAGCAATCTTTTAGCTTACTTTGTTGCAGAAGATGATCATTTTGGTAACAGGACCCCCGTCCACTAGTTTCAGAAGAGCGGATTTCTTGTTGAGAAATGCTGTATCCGGAGTTTTTTCCATTCCCTCCTCTCCACTGCAATCAACGAGTATCTGCAATCTACCCACAAGTAAGTATTCATTCAACCAAAGACAATCAGGAAAAGAGCCATATACCTCCTCAAGACCAGAGCTTGTACGGTGCACGCCAGGTCCCATGATAACTTGAGAATCAGGAAAATTTTCAACTAGTTTATTGTATATGATGACTGGTAGAGTTGCAGTGACAAATAGATATTGGGTGGTAACAGGTGACAAATTCATCAAACTCTGCAATGCTTGCTGAAAATCCTCATCCTTGAAGAGTATGTCCACCTCATCCAACACAGCACTGACAACAAACAATATATATATATATATATTAACATTACAAATTACATTCATAATCTATATATATTTTCTGATCCTGATCCTGATTTGTGTGTTGTTGAGTATTGGCTAAGGTACTAGTCGTTTCAACGAACAAACAAGGTAACATAAGTGTGCATAAAACTTATGGTTTTAATAGTGGACGAAAAGGATTGTGTGAGAATAGGAGTTAAGGCGACAAGTGTAAGAAGGGATTTGATCACTTTTAATTACTTGGTTACCCGAAGTCATCTATGTAAGTGATTGTGATAGGGATTTTGGTCAGAAAAGTAAGGACCTTAAGAACCCTCAATGATGCTACGATACAACAGTAATTAATCAAATATTCAAACAATTATATTACAAGTCCAAAGTCGATTGATGCAATTTTCAAACAATTATAATCAAGACTAAGAATATGATTAGTACCATTTAAGGCTCGTTAACTGTAAGAACCCTTCTTCAACCAAGTATAAGAAGCGACCAGGTGTAGCAATCAGAACATCTAACTCATTCCGAAGATTCTCCAGTTGAGTTTTCTGTCGAAAACCGCCTGTAGCAATCATAGACCGGAATGGCACACCACACTTTGACATCAGTCTGCAATTGCGTAATACCTGCAAAAATTGAGTCTCTCATACATTCAAGACCTGCAACTCACCAAATTAACTCCGGTAGACCTATAACCAAAACCCTAAATCCGTCTCCTCAAAGAGGAATCGCCCTAGATCTGACATTAGAGGGACCACCGCCACCATGGGTCAAGATTACAACTCTTTTTGAGGTATATAAACATTTACATACGGCAAATACTTAAGCACACTCGTAACCTTTGGTGAGGTTTGAACCCTTGACCTCCTGGGAGGCTACCGCTGGACCAACGGCCCTTTGGTTACTAAAGACTAAAATTTCTTGCAACTATGATCACTTTGTAATAACCGGATGCTGGTTATCACCCAAGGTAATTAATATGTGATTATCTRATTAAATGATTACGTGATAGCATGATAAATTGATACGTTTGATCATGCTGGTATGTGAAAATTAATTGTATAATGTGGTTATGTGTATCAGAATATGTATATATGTAGAAATATATATATAATATTTTACACACATGCATATTAGGAAATGCATAGTGTGTGTGGATCTATGTATGTGTGCATGGTTTTGAGTATACATGCATGTGCATGAATTGGTTATTATAAAAAGGGGCTGTTAGCCGACTTTCTAGTTTTGGAAATGTATAAAAGGAGGGCTTAGCCTCCATATTTCTTCTTCTTGCCTTTTGATAAAATTGTGCGATTTAAATAAGAAGAGTTGACCGGATTGCAAGTGTCTGATTTCAAGATCAAGTTGATTTCAAGTGTTTGATTTCAAAAGCTTGTTAAGGTGAGTAATTTCTAAACTCTTTTTGCATAAAACTTTTATTGGTTTTATATGAATCTTGTTTATTATTTGAATGAAATCAAAGAATTTTGCTTAAGGATTTTGTCTGGACAAAGCTTGTCCGGATTGTTTTAAATTGGTCAAAGGTTGGACGATGTATTGTCCGGATTAATTTAAATCGGTCAAAGGTTGGACGATGTATTGTCCGGATTGTTTTAAATCGGTCAAAGGTTGGACGATGTATTGTCCGGATTGTTTTAAACCGATCAAATGTCAACCGGGTTATGATTGGTAAGAATAGTTATCTTTTTGAACTGAGAAGTAGGAATACAACCATTTGGCGGCCGGATTGTTTTAAATCGGTTAAGTTGTGAGCGGGGTATTGTCCGGACTTGTTATCCGGACAAAGATGTTGATTTTGATTCTAAGTGTTAATCGGTCAAGCTTTATGCGGTGTGTTGTCCGGATTGTTGACCGGAGATGAAGTCCGGCTAAATCAAGTGACCGTATTTGAAGTGATGCCTTGTGTTTTTGATAAGAAATGTTATTTTATCATAAAAA